AGATTCCCAGAGAACCGGCCTGGCGGCTGAGCTCACAGTGGCACTGGGAGCAATCCCGGCCCTGTGGACATGCATTACCCCTGGAGTGCCGGCTGAGGCCGGAAGGGCGCATGTTTCCACAGAGGGCTCCAAAGTGTGGGCCAATCTGATGTCCAGCTCCCAGAGGTATTTCAGCCCTTTGATGATCTCAGGTTTCATGGTCGAAGATCAGCAGCACTGGGACCTCCTTGCTGGTGCATCTGTAGGCCAGCCAGGGTGAAGGGAATGGGGACTGGACTGGGAGTTCTCAGAAGACTGGAGTGTGGCGAGTATTCTCTTTCTACCTGGCCTTATGATCTTGCTTGTCACTCTTTCCCAGGGTGACTATAAAATACAGTAGATGGACAAATCTTCTTAGAACAGCTGGCTTAAGGAGATGGAAATGAGTCCTTGGGCGGGGCAGATCTGCCCCATCCAGCGGTGCACAAGCCAAAGCCCTGTCGGCCACCTCCCGTCCACAGTGCCACACTCCTGGGGGGAGGATCTTGCGGAGACCTAGAGAGTGGGACACACCTCCTGGAGTGTGACAAATGAGAAATTTTAAAACGACATTTACTTTTACAAGTCAGACATTTAAGTGGGTCCTTTTTATGGAGCATTTTCAAATTTTATATCGCCTAAGAGACTTTTGCATTTCTTACAATTCTTCTGCACATTAAAGATGAATTATAGTCTCATCCATTTGAGAAAAGAATTTGGGGGAATTTGTAAAGCAGACAAAGGCCGCCTGTGCCCTGATATAGACTGAGAATCTGAATGAATTTCTCTTCCTGATTGATAGACTGGTACTGGTGACAGAAAAAGAGCATGTCAAACTTTTAGTATGAATGTAGTGTTTGGATCTATTCGTAAATATTTTTACCGTCTGGTGCATTGTTTAATGTGTTTCTCGGTGTTTGTTTGGGGATATCCATGTGGGCAGAAATAAAGGAACAGTGGTAGGCCAGCACCCCAAGCTGTAGTGCCCAGGTTTGGCGTGATGCACCCCAGGACTCACAGCCCTCATCTGGAGTGGGCTTTGTGCCGAGCATGGTGCTGACTTTGCATGCTCTCCTTAACTTAACTCTCACAACAGCCTGGAGAGGGAGGCATGGTTTTGTTGTCTGCATTTCTCACATATGGTGTCAGAGGCTCAGCAGGGTTAAAGAACTCACCCTCAAGGTGTGGGACTATGAACCCAGGCCTTCTGGTCCACAGACCTTTCTGGAGACCACTGCTCCTCTTGGCTAAGCCCCAGCATGTAGACTGGCCTTTGGTCTTTTCCTCTGGTTTTTATTATATAGGGTCATGACTGGTGTCTCAACAGGCTCTGTAAACTATGCTATTAAGTTTCTTGAGAACAGGATCCAGGGTTGCTTTTATGTCTAACAGGTACTAACTTTGTGTTTGCTGGGTGATTGAATTGAACTCAGTGTTTAGCCTCTGTGAATTGTGTGCTTCAGAGATGAATTGAAAAGGTCACCTTGTTTTTCCAGAATGCAGCACCGACGGGGGCAAAGGGGCTCTCCCTTGGCCAGTGGGAGAGCATCAGATCCCAGAATGTGGTCAGCATACAGCTGACCTGCCCAGTAGCAAAGCACAGGGTGAGGAGTAAAAGCGTTTATAGGGATGTAGTTGCCTGTGGCTTTTGCAAGATGAGGTTAAAAAGCCCTGGATGGGGTTTTCCCTCTCAAAACTACGTCTTCACAAGCAACAACAACCTGGAAAGGAAGAATAAGATGGAAACCAGGTCTTGAGAGGAATAGTGGAACGTCACCTCAGAAAGAAATTTCCATCAGCATCGGTAACATTTGTAATTCATGTGGTCTTTTATAAATAAGGAAATTCCCTTGTGGAATATTTTGCTCACAAAGTTCACTCTGCACATCTTCCATAGAATATGGGACAAGGCAACCTTACCATAGTTATCTTAAGAAGTTATAAAGCAAAAATATTTTATAGCCCATACTGGTTTTCTTGAACATGGGCAGGAATTTGCTTCCCTTACTCACAGCTATTTTCCCAGCACTTAGAATAGCACCAGTGATTGTTCAAGTGCTGAGAAATATTTGTTGAATGACTGTGAATGAAGGAAGTGTGCAGCTTGCTTAAAAACACTGCGTTCCCAAGAGACCTCGTTGCCTTCACTATCGATGCCTTTTGAACTTTATTTTTTAAAAAAGAGACACTAAAATGAAATCCTATATAAATGAATATGCAAATCTAATATTTTTAGTTAATATTTTCTTATTTTATAGCTAGTTGATAACAATAAGACTGTATGTAACAAAACAGAAATTTAAAATGCAGGGCTCCAAATGACAGTTGCAGTCACATAGCAGTCTCAAAATCCAATTTGTTTCGGCCTTCTATTTTGCTTGCCTTGTATTGTACCAAGAAGATATTGGTGTACAGAGAAAAATAGTTTGCCTTGAGCTCTCAGGACACTCTTCAGTGAAACTGATTTGGGAGCTTGAGAGAACTAATAGAAAATGTTTCCAAGTTGAATCATTAAGAGGAAAATATTGATTTGCTCACAAACATCATCATCAATATATCAGATCAGAAGTACTGCAAGACTTACACAAGTGCTCAGAGCATTTACAGCATGGATGCTTACTAGGCAATATGCCTTGGAGGGAAGGGGTCTGTGAGCTTAGTTGATCCTTACCTAGGTCCTTATGTGCTCTCCAAAGCTTGGTGTTCCCAGAATGATGGGAATACGAGGTAAAGAGGTAGAGAGTTAGCAAGAAAGCCTCATTTGTGGGTGGGATTTTATTTGCATTATGTATTCTATTCTATTCATTCACTCATCATTTACTCATTCTTTAATATTATTTGAAGTATCTATTGTAAATAAAGGGCTCCTCCCTAAGGAGTTTAAAATAAAACTAACTATAGGTATCTAAAACTATGTTGGGAAAATGGAGAATTCTGTGAGTGTAAGATACTGCAGTTCACATTGCTTAATGAAACAAAAAATAAATGGTATGGGGTGGAGGTGGCTAGTGAGGTGGTATCTAGTTGCCACATCTTTGAATTATTTTAAAATAAGAATATGCTTAGCATTCATCACCCATTGCACATAGAAGAGGCCACCAGAATATGCAATTAGAAAATTATTATAGTACACATTACCACCAATTTTTCTCCAAATATTCCCTCCTTGCTTCAAGCACATACTATGGTTTTGCCACTTCTGAAGTTGTGGAAGCAGTTATGAGAGTCCTCCTTCATGAGTGTCTTGACAAGGCATGATCAAGAATGTGGTGAGTGCTGCTGTGAAGTGACAACCAATGGAAAGGAAGTCTTGTAAAAACATACCGTGTCCTCATCCACCTTATTCACTGGATCTGGTACCACGTGACTTCAGGCTGTTCCCCAAAGTCAAAATGACCATAGAAGGTAAATATTTTGAATCCATTCAGGATATCAAGGAGTCATGCCAGTGTAACCAAGACACTCATGAAAGAGGCTGTCCAGAACTGCTTCAGAAAGTGGGAAGAATGATGGGATAAGTGTGCTCACAGGGGGATCAAGGGCAGCGTTTCCTTAACTATAACAAATTTTTTATTTAAACCTTGGCTGAGATGTTGATTCATTGTTTTACAGGAAGGATTGGATTTTACAAACTATGGGAATGAAGGAGCAACGTGAAAGACTGCACATTCCTTGACTGAAACCTTTCGGGCTGGCCTTAACCGTACGTCCCTCAGTAAGGAGTGACTCAACTCACTCTGAGCCAAAGTGGAAACATAAATGAGGTCAGCTGCCCCTGGAAACTTTCCACACCTCTTGAGTGCTTTAAATTATGGGGCACACTTTATTGTACCAAATCACTGCAGCTTTATTTGAATTTGATTCAGCTGCCAAGTCAATAGTTGAAGGTGAACAGTTGGAGCTAAGAAAGCTCACTATCCCTTAGCACGAATGGTGCTTTTTCCCCCTTCTCCCTGGGTCTTAAGTATATAAAGATTACCTGGGAAACAAGAAAGGAAAAACTTAATTCAAAATAGCCTAGGATGTATATAGACCTGTTTTTCTCCCCCTGGGGATGTTGTCATTTTTACACACAAAAAAAAATCCTCTCTGAATAGTTTCTAGCTGCCTCCCTTTCCTTCTCAACAGTGACATCACCATTGCTCAGATTATCATGACTTCCAGGAGAAAGAAAAGAATTAACAATCACCTAATTATCATCACCTGTGGCTTTAACCTGCAGTTAAAATGTAAAGGAGGAGAACTGAGCCGATTAGCACCCTGGGAAAGGAAGCAGGGCTGTGATAACCGATTGGTGCTAACCCTGTAGTAAAGCAGTCCTTTGACCTGACTTTTTGGGTCCTCTCTCTGCGGCATGCCGCTTCTGGTGCACTTTGTGGGAGAGATGCACGGGGCAAACTTGGTCCTGGGAGGGGGCTGCAGTTTCCCGGCCTAGCTGGAGGCCAAATGCAAACATCAGGTAAAAGGTCAAGTAAGGTCAGCGCACACCAGCCCAGGGAAGCGGAGGCTGCTCTCCTGCCTCGAGTGCTTTTCAATTTGGGAGAACCGAGAAGAGCAGCTTCTCTCTGAATCACTGCTTTCCCAGGCTTATGATTTTCAGCACCTCTTGTACTTTCCATTGCTTTCCAAACACGGACTTGTTTCAGGCTTCCCTGAACACAGATTGCAGTGATGTGGGCAAACAATTTTGACAAGATATGCAGCTTTGAGGAAAAGCACTTGAGGCTTACAAGGACATGAACGGTTGCTGGCCTCTTGGTAGGGGATAGAGGTGGGAGGTGCGATGTTCAGCCCCTGCGAGGGAAACCCTGACCGCAGCGCCTTCTAGGCTGTAGAGTCCTTGGCGGTACGGTCCTGGAGTACATGCCCACATCACCTGCAGAGCTTGTCCCCAGCTCGATGACCAGCAAATGGGCATTTTCTGTCTGGGATCCAGGAAAAAGAAAAAACAACAACAACATATTTCATTCAAGGCATTTTGCTCATCCCTCATATCTGAGTTCCAAAAACATTTATTGAACACCAGCTCTTGTGCAGAGTGCTGGACAGGGATGAAGAAGAAATTGAAGATCTTTACTCTGTCTTTGAAGAACTGCCTCCTAAATCAGAGCTGAAAGCTTGTGAACGTTGATATAAATGCTTATGAGACAGCAGAGAAAGGGCAAATTAATACTTCAGCAAGGGGGGGTGCGGCGGGCAGGATATATTCTATCCCTTCCCAATGACATTTGAGGGTACTGAGGTTCTGCAGCTAACTTCCCATTTTTGTAAAAAAATAAGACTTTGGGCCACCTATTAATATTCTTCAACCTTCTATGGCTAAACTTGTTCTGATTTTCACCTCATTATTACCCCTCAGCCTCCATGCTTGTAGCTTTGGAGCAATAGTGCCTCACACCTGTAGAAAAAAGCAAAAGAAAAAGTGAGATAGATCTGAATATAGACCTTTGAAAATAAGAGAATGACAAAATGCTCTATTGTCTGCTTTGATAACTAAGTTTGTACTTTATATATGGACTTAAATAGTTTACTGAATACATATGGTAAATGATAGAATAAATGTCCAGACTGTGGTTTAACCTACAAAAGGAAAGAGACTGCAGAGAGGATAAGATAGAGAAATAAAGAATTCTGAACAAAGGGATATCCAACTCTGATGTCTTTCAAAATCCTGAGAAACAATTTCTGCAAAGGAAGGCAGTACAGTTCTATGGAGAGACCAAGTACTTTGTGGCCAGAGTGACCCCTGCTTAGTCCCAGGTTGTTCTGGGTAATTTTTAGCAAGTTGGCTGTGAAAATGATGGGGAAAAAGAGGAAGCAAAGTAAGAGCCAGCACAGATGGGACCTAAGATGGCAGAAGAATCATTCTCAGCTGTAAGACTGGATCCTAATAAAGGATGAATGCCTGATAGACTTATGCAGAGATACAAGGCTATTGTTGGTATCCTAAATGCTGCAATGCTGGGATGAGTTTGTGGCAGTAGGACAATCTTAGCCATTGCTGCGATTTGAGTCAGGTGGGTCAGCCTCAACTTGGTTACAGTGAGTCTCATGTAATCTGTTTTAGTTCAATACTGAAAGAATGCTGGGCCTATCCACCTCAACATCAACTTACAAAATAGTGTTCTGTTTTCCATCTCACTTTGCTCCTCTTTTTATGTCTTTTCTGCATGTTTCCTCTGAAATTTAAAATCACACTTGTTTCTTGGTTTGTGATTGGATTTCTTTATTTCTTTTCTTCTGTCATGCACAACCCTCCTCTCCCTCTTCAAAAAGTAGCTGTTCTCTTGATCAGGGCTGTAAATTTTTGTGCTTTGTCAGAAAGCACTGAGGCATCACAAACCTGGGTGCAGAGAAATGTCTTGGTATTTCTAGGCCCAAAGACCTACAGACTTGGAGCAGCAGTAATGTCAAGTCTGTGTATCTGTACGTGTTCCTTTCATAGTTTGGGAACTAAGGCCAGGGAACTAAGGCCTTAGATAAGGTCACTGTAATTTTTATTGATAGAACAAAATACCCCAGTCCTGATAAGTTATAAAACTAGAAATTTTGTTTGTCTCATGAGTTTAGAGGCCAAGAAACCCAAGAGTATTGTGGTGATATCTACTCAGCCTCTGGTGAGTCTTCTTTCTGTGCCATAGGTGGGACAGGGCAAGTGTGCTAGCTCTACTCTCCCTTCTCTTATAAAGAAACCCACTAGCACCATATGAGAACCCCACCCTTATGACCTCATCTAATTCCAGTTGCTTAACAGAGGCCTTGTCTCCACATATCATTAACATGTGATTTGGCGGATTAAATTTCTAACACATGAACTTCTGAAGGTCACACTCAAATCATTATAACCAGTGTGGTATAGTGAGTTGCCTGAACCCATTTTCCACTTCTTCTGGGCCCATTTTCTATCTTATTGTTAGAAAGAAGCTGTAACCTTGGCTTTGTCATCACTTTTATGAATGCAGGGGGCTTTTACGTATTTTCTGTAGGAAGTGAGTTCAGTTTATAAGTAGCTTCTAAAAGCAGACCTGGTGGATGTCCAGAACCAAAATCCTGGGACACAGGCTTCTGTGACACACAGGCACTGCATTCTAGCTCTTCTTGAATATCCTCTGTGAGCTTCCAGGAAGCCCTATACCTTCTCATGTAGTCAGCAACACGTAGCAGTCTGAGGCATCCATGGTAAAGGTGTTGTGTGGCTGCTAAAAGCCCCCCTTAGGGGACACACGTCTTTCTGGTGATTGCTAATGCTTGTGAGGGTGCCCGATTCAGGTGTCCTGTGATTTCTGTGGAGCAACAGCTGATATTACTGCATATGGTAGGCACGATAATGGCTCCCCCAAAAGTTCATGTCTTAATCTCAAGACCCTGTGAGTAAGTGAGGCCAAAGGGCTGCCATGGTCTGAATGTCAGTCCCCACCCATCCCCACTTCATATACTGACTCTTTACCTCCAAGATGACAGTATTAAGAATTGAGATCTTTTGTAGGTGATTAGGTCATGATGATTCCTGACCCTTGAGTTTGGACTTTCAGAACTATGAACAATGAATTATATTGTTTATAAGTGACCCTATCTAAGGCATGTTGTTATAGCTGCTCAAGTGGACTAAGCTATTGACAAAGGTAGTTTAGAGTTGCAGAGAGGATTAATGTTGGTAACTACCTGACTTTAAGATGGAGAAATTATTCAGTATTATCCAGATGAGCCCATAGTAATTTTATAAATTCATAGTAATTTTATAATTCTAGAGAAGGGAATTGGAGAAGAAAAGCAGAGAGATGGAAGCATGACAAGAACTTAGCCAGATAGTGCTGGCTTGGAAGATGAAGAAAGGAGGACAGTGACAGAAGAAAGGGGATGGTTTCAAGGAGCTGGGACATGCAAGGAAGCAGATTCTCTCTTACAGCCTCCAGAAAGAACACAGCCTCAAAGGCAAGACTTTGATGCCATGAGCTTCTGACTCCCAGAATTATAACATGATAAATCTGTGGCATTCTAAAGGCCATTCATTGGTGGTACTTCATTATAGTAGTCATAGAAAACTGATATGGTGTCCTGATAATTAACAGAGGTGACTATTGATATTCAGTCTTAGTTCTCAGGTGCTGTTTTCTCAGAAACAGATTAAGTTCCAACCGTAAATTCTGGGAAGAGATCAGAACAAGAACCCAAGAATGGACAGGTAGCGATAGGTAGAGACCTGAAGCAATAGCATTATAGCTCTGATGACATTGTTACGAATAAAGCTATTTTCCTGGCTCCAACTTTTTTCTCTGTATTTGTCTAGTCTTTCCTGCCTTTGAAAGTGAATCATAAGCCTTTCATCAAATGGTGTGACCTTTATGTATACTGATTTATAGAAGCATTGTAGGGGTGAGAATTACTGAATTAGTTATGGAAAACAAAAATCAGCATGGTGTAGAATTATTCCAGGAAAGGTTAATATACTGAATAAAATTAGAATCACTCAGTTACTCTAAGGACATGGAAAATGAAAAGATTTTCATGTGATTGCTTAACCTCCAAACAAAGCCATTTAAGCGTATTTATGCTATTTAAAATTATACATGAGAAAGTATGCAAAACCATAAAACTACTAATTTAAATATCTATTTTGAACATCCAATATCATAGAGTATAGTTTATTCCTGTTTTAGGAGTGTACATCCTAAATATATAAATATAATGCCTGTTAATCTTAAGTGCTAAAATAGGTATTTGGTTCAAAAGGCAGCTTCTGTTAATTAGCCTTATATCATTAAAACTTAGGCCTTCTGAAAAACATAAGAAATGAAAGAGCAATGCTTGGGTTCCTTAATTCTCAAACCTGCTAGCAACTATAAATTAACTGAATTTATTATATTGTTTAGGGAAGTAAATAAATGAAAAGAAGTGGTTTTCAATATTTTGGAGGAAAACTTCAGAGTTTTAGTTAGATGTGTGTTCATAAACAATGCTAGTAAAAAAAAAAAATCTAATACCTTCTCCCCAAACTTTGTAGAAACTTAAAACACAAAGCTATTTTTATTGCCTAAAATAAAGTACAATTGTTTTGAACATTTCTTCATAGAATGCTGTGTAAGAAAAATGGAAGGCAGTGCACTGTGTTTAACTACAGAGGTGTATCTTTAGGTTTTCCTAGTTTTGGAGTCTATCCATCTCTGGCCACATTTTAGAGGACATAATACAGAGATACATGACAAGTGCAAATTTTGAAAACAGACAGAAGTTGGGGAATTAGAAAGATGATGACTAATGTCAAAGGAGACCAAGGAAATTACCTATGATATTTAAAAACATGTTGCTTTTTTGAGACATGGAAAAAACCAAAGCAAGAAAACCCCAAATCTTTCCATCTCAGTTCTGTGATTGTTTTGTGTAAGTGTGAAACCCCCATTTTTGAAACTTTGGTAGTGTTTTCATGATCTTAGTAGCATTTATTGAGTTACATAGTTTATTCAGATGAGAAGAAATGGATAAACTTTCTCTGGTCACCAAGGCCGAACGATTTCCTCTATGATACTCTGAAGTCTGGAAGGCTGAAGTTGCTTTCAGTGTTTCTTTGATCCTTATTATTATAGTTCATCAGAGGTTTATGGAAGGATCTGAGGTGGCCTTGATACCACTGTAGGGTTATTTTCATTGGCCCTGCCATATTAGAGTGAATTTTCCATGACATATGGGGCTACTGTTGCTATTGTTTGGATTGTCCTGGTTTCCAAGGAGAAATGTATATTGAGTGACCCTAGATTGCCCACTCTAAGAGTTTGTTTTATATGCATTCTACATACAAATAAAAGATTCAGAGAAATATTTATTGGAGTCAGGAAGGATAAGCATGATAATTTAAATTTAAAAAGAATATATTTCCTAATTTGGGCTACCTGAGTTTACTTAGACCTTAATATTTTGACACCAGTAAATGTGATTTTATTTTTCATTAAAAGACTAAAGTTTAGCAATAATTTAATTTTGGAATTTTTTTGGGCAGCACATGTTCCAGGAAATGCTGCTGACTATCATAATAATTGACACCAAACATCTCCTATCAATGCCTAAGTGTGCTTTGAATTTATTACTTTATTATCAAAACTACTGTTTTTTGTTCTTTTCCTATTCCTGATGCCTTCCATATCTACTGAGCATCTCTACCTGGGTGTTACTTCATCATTCAAACTTGTCATTCAGAAATGAACTCATTGTGGTTGTCATCCTCTGCCTTTTTCTTTGCAGTCACAGTCATTGAAGACTGTGGATTTCAACTCTTTCTTATCTCCTACTATGTTCCCTCCTTTCCCTCTGCTCTACTTCCTGCAGTGCTCTTTTGACTAAAGCTGACAGTAGGCATGCCTAGATTCCTTCATTGCTGTACTTATTTCCCTAGTTTTAGTCTAATCCCCATTTATTCACTCATCTACTTTCATATCAGGCAAATCTTTCCAAAGTACAAGTGAAATCACATTACTCTTCTCTGAAATTCTTCAATGGCCCCTACTGCCTACACGACTGTTTGAATTCTTTTATGGAGTAAACAAAACTCTTTTAGGATACTATATTAATACATAACTATAATATTAATATTATTAATACATACCCATTATTAACATATTTGTATATATTAATAACATCTTATGAAATTTTTCATCAGTTCTTAGATGTTCTTATAAGTTTTCATAGTTTTTTTCACTTAAATTTGAGAATATTCTCTTGCCTTCTTTTCTCAAGGTTAGGATTCTTTTCTTACCCATGTCAAATCTATTAATAAGATTATCACAGGTATCCTTTGTTTCTTTTACCATGTTTGTAATTTCTAGCCTTTCCTTCAGATTCTTTTCTAAAGTTTCCATCTCTTTGCTTATATTACTTACCTGAATTTTCATAGTTTCTGCTTTTTCCATTTCTGCTTGACACATTGTATTAGATAGCTTTCTCATTGCTGGGCAAAATACTTGAAACCTGCAATTTAAAGGGGGAGAGGCTTATTTGGTTCATGATTTCAGAACATTGAGTCCATGGTTGGTGAGTTTCAAGGAAGAACCACCATACAGGAAGGTTATGGTAAAGTAAGGCTGCTTAGTTCTTGGCAGCTAGGAGACAGACCAGGGGAATAGTGCCAGAGAAGAAGGGGCCAGGGACCATATATAGTACCAAACCTCCATGACCCTCCCAGATCCACCCAAAAGTGAGATTTACTCACAAGTAAATCAAATTGACAGCACAGCTTAATTTAACAGTCCACCTCTTTTCTACTTGATACCCAAAACATCTTAAATCATACCTTATCTTCAAATAAACATAATAAGTTAATTCTACCTAACATAACAGAACTATCCTAGTACAACTGAAAATACAATAATCCGTTCTCCTAAGTCTCAGTAGTTTCAGTACTGCTCAGAAGTCCAAGACCAAAGTCTCTTCTGAGACTCAAGACAAACTCATAGCTGTGAATCTCTGCAAAATTCAAATGATGATTTGTAATACCCTAATATACAATGGTACAAGGTAATACTTTTCATTCCAGGAGGAAAGAATAAAGGGATAGAACAGAATAGAAGTAAACTAAGTCAAAACCTAGCAAGGAAAACATAAATCTCTGTGGCTCCATATCTGGCACTTGGCATACGTGATGGTGAGACATGAGTTCCAAAGAGCCTAACGGCCCCACTTCTATGATCTTGATGATTATAGTCCAAATATTTTCTCCCTTGGACTGGCTTTGCTCACTGTCTGTGGCTTCCCTTGGCAAACATTCTATATTCCTGGCATTTCAACATACTAAGGTCTCCCTGGAATATTTGGGTACATACCCATAGCTTTACAAACCTCCTCTCAATGGCCTGGCCTCCCTGGCATTACTTTAAAATTTAGGCAATGGCCTGGCCTCCCTGGCATTACTTTAAAATTTAGGTGGAAGCCTCTGTGACATCACAAATATTGCATTCTTTACAACTGAACAACTACTATTATGTAGACAATGCCAAAATCTGCTGTCACTGAAAGCAGTAGCCCGGGCCCCTTGGACCATGGCTGCAGCAACTTCTCAGTGCCTGGACGGCAGAACACAGTGAAATGAATCCCAGAGAATGAATTTCCTAAGAGGCTCTTTTTAAAGATGGGCCCCAGAAGTTTCCTTCTCCAATGAAAGTTTATACTTTTGTACCCTGAAATAGGTGAGGTCCTAATGATTCCTGAGATGTGTCTTATTCTTGTTCCAGTTTAAAATACTTGATTTAATTTTAATGGCACTGAGCTCAGCAACTGTAACTCCTTTGGCCTCAATTTCACATATTATTCTTTATAAGCCAACATTTATGTGTGTTAAATCTTTTTGCCTTGCTTTTTGCTTCCATTTCTCACTATAAATCTGCCTAAAATAGTAGTACTCATGCCATAGCTTGAATGTTGGGCTGCCTTGAAATTTCCTATGTTAGATCACTAGTGCACTACTCTTAAACTCAGCCTGTTCTGAAGTCTTAGGACATGGGAATAGTGTGCACAATTTTTTATTTTTTGCCAGAGAGTAAATGTGTGACCTCTAGTTTACTTTCCAATGGTGTCCTCATTCCCAGCTAAAACCTCATGAGCCTGATTTTTACTTTATGCAATTGTATTAGACTTCTGGTCTTTTGCCATCTGATAAGAATCACCCATCGGGCTCTGATTTCAGCAGTTTAGGGCTGCTACAGTCTGTGTCTTCAAAGTTTTCCAAATTCCTCTCGTAAACTAGTTCCAAAGCTTTGAAATCACGTGGTCAAGTATAGTCACAGCATATCCCCATCTGTCTTGCACTAATCTTCTGTATTAGTCAATGTATTTGGCCTATTAGTCTATATTTTCCTGTTGCTGGAAAACATACCAGATATCTGCAGTTTAAAGGAGAAGTTCATGTGGTCTTCAATTTCAGGGGGTTCAGTCCATGGTCAGGTGGCTTCAAAGCAGAAACATCAGAGTGGAAAGGTGTGGTCGAGTAAATCTTCTGGAAACAGAGCAAGGGGGCAGCACCAGAGGGAGAAGCCAGTGACTAGATACAGTACCCAAGGTCATGCTTCTGCAACCCGTGTTGATACACCTAGGGGTGTGTTTTACTAATCCACAAGGTAGCTCACAAGTCCATCAAGTTGACAGTTCAGCTTAACCATCACACATATTAATCAGGATTATTTTAAAGGCATGTCAGAAATTCCAGCATCCATGTCATACTGTCATACTGGGTCACACTGTGATGATTTCTTTGCTTCTTCATCTTGAGACTTTTTCCTCCCTTTGTCATGCATGTGACTTCTTTTTAAAGACAGTCATATCATACCAGGTAATAGTATGAAGATTTATGTTAATCTTGCTAGGATTAGACTTGTGCTTATGATTGTCATAGCTGTGTTTCCTGTGGCTTCAGCTTCTTCTACCATCCTTGTTTCTGTTCTCCCTTTTCACTTTGGGAGCTTCTTTATATACTGCTCCTCAGAGAGCCTGTGTCTTGGTGCTCTTTTAGCTCTAATCCACTGTTATGGTATTGAAGCTCTGTTGGTGTGGCGATGTGGACTAGACAGAAGGTACATTTTATAATCTTCTGACTAAATCTTGTCATTTTAGAGGGTCTGTGTTTGTGTCTTTTAGACATCTATGGTCTTCACAAGGGTTTCCACGCTCCAGTGGTTTGCTTCTGTTGCTTTCTTAGTCCTTTTCCTGGTTGCAATGTTTCACATCAATTTCCTGGAAGCCCTGTCTTCTGCTCACTAGTTTTTCTTTGCCCTTGAGTAAGAAAGGAAACCTGGAGAGGGCTGCAGTGGGGAGAAATTTTTTTCTTCATCAGGGATAATGTTTCTGAATTTTGCTACGATAAGGTCCTATGCCCTGGATGGTGGGCCCCTTTTTTTTTTCAACAGAGATGTCTCTGTACGTATTTTACAAAGACTTGGTCTTCCACTCTGTTTGCCAGAACCACAAGGGAAACTCTCAGGTTTGTAACCTTAGAACCTTTTGTGATTCCTGGAGGGAAAGCTGATTAAAATCTAGGGCCAAAGGGTTTCTCACTCTCATGTTAATCCATATCCAGTCATTGGCAATTGCTAAAATCATCATTTAATTGTCCCTACTATAGGTCATGGCTTTAACAACCTTTGTTCTAGCTAAGCAGTTTCTGGATTTCCCTGTCTTTCTGGATATGTATATCTTTCCTTTGGGTTTGGATTTGCAATTTGTCTTGAAATCTCCATTATCTAATAGGCAACAAGAAAAAATTCTATTTTTAGTTTGTCCAGCTTTTTCTAGTGGTATGGCATGTTGAAGCTTTTTCATGTTGAAGCTGAAGCCACAAGTTCAAACTGCATTGTTGATAGAAACCTAAGTGATGATAGTATATTAATATTTTGTGTGGGATTTTTGAATTTATGTGCATGAACTGTAATTTTCTTTTGTCATAATGTCCTTGTTTGGTTTTGATACAATGGTTTAATATAATCACATGCAATTAGGTATTCTTTCTCCTGATTTTTCTATACCTTCTGTATTAATCTTGTAGAAGATTGCAATTTGTCCCCAGCTGTCTGTAAAAATTACTTGTAAAATTGTCTACATCCATTGTTTACTTTGTGGGGAGATTTTAAACTCTACCTCAATGATCATTACGCTTAGGAAACTATTTGTGTCATTACCGTCTTTCTGAGTGTGTTCTGCTAAGTTATTGGTTTCTAGAAATATGTCACTGATTCAGTCTTTAAATTAATGGACATACATAGAATTATTCATTACTTTTTAAATTGGTATATCTACTGTTTTCTCTTCTAGTGTCTTACGGTTATAGAGAGAACCACAACTAGCCTGGAAATCATTCTTTTTAGGAAAGTTTTCTGGTAACCCTATATGTGATTAGGTCAGGACTGGTTTTTAAAACTTCTACTCTCTGCCATCCTCCAATCAGTGTTAGCTGTTACCAATTCCAAGAGTTACATCAGCCTCCAAATATCTTCTGTCATTCTGTGGCATATGTTGGACCTTGGCCTAGACTATGTCTGGGTCTATAGATTTAAAAAGGCTTTAATAATTGGATGTTTTTGATATCTTAACATTTGATGAAGATCTCTGCAACCAATTTGGCTAGCTTTTGAGTGCAGCAATCCAATTCAGAGGCTGCATTTAGACACAGCCTGTGAATCCAAAGTAACATGAGCAAAGTTCTAGTCACGCCATAGTTTATGACTGCCAAAATGTGGACACGGAAGCAGTTATTTTAAAACTTGATAAGCAACACAGCATTTTGCAGAACTGTGGAATAAAAGGAAGACTTCAAGTTGCTCAGTTAAAAAAATTTGCAGAATTATTGACATCAGTGGGCATTCTTCACCTGATCATAGGATGCATGCTTTAGGTTCGAATTACTTTCAAAAGCATAATTTACATTTGAAGTAAGATTTTTTTTCAAACATTATTTATATTCTAGGGTCTTTTCCATATTTTTTACTTTATGATGGTGAGATTTAATAAACATCTTGTTAAAAATGACGATATATTTATTCTTTTCAGTGTAATTTATAGTTAAAAATAGCTCTATCTACCAATCAATCATATATTTAGATTTTTAGATGCCGTAGTGTAATATTCCTGTATTACATTTTCTGTTTCTTTGAGGGGGGCATAATTTATACACAAGTTAAATCGGGAAGTTGGAAACTTCTTCAGTGTTCATGTAATGTTTAATTTAAAGTATTTCCAACCACAGCCCAAGTCTCATGCTGCTATGGACAATCTGTGTTTCTTGGTATATGTCCCAACATTTTATTTAACAAAATAGAAATAGAAGAACAAATATAAAAGCGCCAAATGTGAAGTATAGCTAGAAGGGTTTGACAGACATAACAGCAAAGCTACTTCATCTTACAGCATTTGATTCAGGAATACTGCATCTCAAAAGTTTTCATTTTTGAGCAGTTAATTCCATAATTTAAAGAACAATTCAATACAACATAAAAGGAGAAATGTGTTGTCAAATCCTCATGAACATCAATCCAACAGTATGAAGTGACATCAGCTCTAACAGATTCAATCTTGATTTGATTGCGAATATTACAGAACCTCCTTTTAACTCCCTCTATGAAACTCCTCCTTTATTCAGATTCAGAGATATTAATGAAGCTTAGAAAAACAATTGTTGATGACTAAACATATGTATTATATTGGTAAAATGTGACTTTGAAATGTTGAGATCAGAACACACATTTATAAATGAAAGGAACCATGAAAAACTAAAATTGTCCTTCATTTAGTGGTTAAAATAAGGACATTAAACATTAAGAAAAAGGCTGCCTGAAATAAGGAAAACAATTGACCATGGTATAGTTTTCTTTCCTCTTCTCCCTGCCATAGTCTCAACCAGTTAGAAGGAGCAGAACTGTGTTTATGTGACTGAACTGGAATAAACCAATATATTTTTGTCAATTGATATGAATAGGTCATGATTTCTTCTCAGTCTTTTGTCTAATATCATGTGAAATATGTCATGGTTTACCTTTCCACATACACAAGGCACAAGGGGACTAGGGAATCACTTGACTTGATGCATTTATACAGTTTAAAAGGCACTTTGGTGATTCAGACTAGATACCTCATTTTTTCAGTATACCCACCAAAGCACAGCATAATTAAGCACTAAAATAGCTCATTAACCCTTTTAGGTCTCAGGAGGACCATTTGATATTTAAATGGGGGTGATGAAGTTTTTGTTACATGTTCAGCTACATCTAAGTGAATGACCATGATAAAAGGAACATTCAAGGACTGAGTAGTTCTACTAGGTGAATTATGAAAGCAAAATGTTTCTCCATTTAAAGCATGATTTAATTCATTTTCCACTATTTTTACATAGATCCTTAGAAACAAAAGATAAAACTAAGGCTGTGTTGAAAAGTGTAATCTCAGAGAATGAAGGATGAGAGGAAATTGTAAAGGAGGCAGGGAAGATGAAGAATAAAATTGAAGGATTTTATTGGTAAGGCAACAATCAGAACTCATCATACAGATTGTCTCCAGAGAGACTCTATGGAGCATGGTGTCTTGGAGGAATCTACTGCAGAGATGGAGGCATGTATCTGTTAGCTCTTCCCTTCTTTCTGCATTCTACTGACCTAAATCAAAGGAATTACTCCATGGTACATTTTAGATTGTGTTATGGAGGCCTTCAGGAAGGTTCCTGGAAAGCTAGGGTCTCTCCTTGTCTGTTGGTGTTGTGCAGGAAGGGTTCTTTGGCTTTACTACTGAAAGAGCTGCTTTCAGCAAACAGAGAAGTCACAGAGATCACAGCTGGGAGATAGCAACTGGAGGTGGAATGCAGGATTCAGAGGGTGCTTAAATTGGTTCTAGCACAAGTACATCTGGAAAATGAATGCATATGAATGTCTATGTGTGTTTGTGCAAGTGATAGATTCCAGGATACATATATAGATAGGATTCCTCAGCAGGGATCTATAATCTGGAATTAGGAGTAAATATAAATGTTGGGGGCAGTTTCTTATTGTAAAAGAGATTGTTATAGAGCCTAAAAGAGAAACCCAAGTCATGTCAAAACTGAGAGTCCTTTACATGTTTCAATGGCAGCAAAGGAGATTTTCCGGGTAGCACTGGGTTGGCACAAACTAAGGAGTAGAGCTGACAGATGGTTGTTGCACTGAGATGAGATCTTTGAGCAAAGGTGGTTGAAAGGGTGACATGTGCCAGTAGCTTGGAGAAATGAAGCCAAAGGGAGAATTCAAGCAAGCGCTGGGGGAGTTTCTACATCACGAGGTCTTAGAGGATAGCAGTGCAAGCCATATTCCCACCCAGTCTGTTTTCTTTTCATTTCTGGTGGTTGGTTTCTCAAATTGGCATCTGTTCTTATTCACTTCATCTGTATAAATTTAAGTCTCATTAAAAATTTAAAGATATGAAAGAGCTTCTGATGGTCCATCAATCAGTAAAAACAAAAGCTCAATTACAGTCAATACACCCAGGTGCGGCAGTATGGGAAAATAGAGAAGAGCAAATAATCAGCGTAGTGTGACTAGGAAAGCTCTCTGCTAATTGACCAAATCAAGTTTTACCTATTTCATCTATCTGACTTATGTCATGTCAACATATTTGAAGCCAGAGATGTTATTTAGAAATACTACTGCACAGGGAGGAATGCTTTATATTCATAATCTTTTTCAGAGTAGGGATTTGGAAGATTTCTCAGATTTTATAACTGGCTGTCCCTTTTCCACTTTGGAGGATAAGATCAACTCATGGATGGTGATACTAAGTTTATTCCCCTGTGGAACAAAAGTCTTCTTATTTGTCATTCTTGAATTAACTGCTTAGGAGCTCTTTGTTTTTTCAGCATAAACTAGATAATAGTTTGTAGGCCAACCATTATTAGCTAAAGTGCTTATTAATTGTTCATATACAATATGTTCAGAGTCTATTTTACCCTGCTGAATTATAGACCTACTTATGGAAGATAATTTAGAATATAGTTTTGCTCCAGTAAATTTAATGCAGGCCATTAATTTAAAAAAATAAATGAGGTTTTTGCATAGTCCCATATTAAAATGTTTTGATATAAAAAATTTGGGAGGATTGATGGGTATTATTGTGCAAATAATTTTTCAAAGCCAGAAAATTTGTTTTTTTTGGTGGATAAACATGGAGATGTTGTTGTCAGTGGCTTTGCTTCCATCATGGCAAGATGTGGACTTTGGAAGTGAAGCCTTGGAAAATGTGAGTGAACAACCATTTTTCAGAGAAAAACTTTCAAGCATCCTGACAACTACCAAATTACTGATGCTACTTTTTACCATTGACTGTGATGTGTCAACTTGACTGGGTTAAGAAATATCCATGAGATTAGTGAAGCACTTCCGGGTAGGTCACGAATGTGTGGCCTTGGGTACAATATCTGGTGGCTGCTCTGTTTCTCTCCGCACTGTTCCCCAGCTACTGTGACCTGAACATCTCTCTTCTACCATATCTTTCCACCATATTTCTCCCTTGCAGCCATCCATCATGGACTGAATCTCCTAGAACTGTGAGTCACATTAAACCTCTCCTATTTTCAATGATGAGTGTCAGATATTTTGTCCTAATGTCAGGAAAGTGG